AAATTGACAACAAACGGAATACTTCTTCAAATTAAGAAAAATTTGTATAAATTTAACGTTGACTTTGAAATTACGCGGTACATAATATTACAAATGCCGTCTGCCTTTGTATGTACAGGCAGGAGTTAATGATCTTAGCTTCTTTACTAATTTAGCTGCTGAAAGAATTAAAAAAAAATCTTGCGGATTTTCTTTGCACTCTTATTACATTTGTGCAAACAACGTTACTACGTTGAATAATTGGTAGAGTTAACCGAACGAATTGGGCTATATTGTGATTGGATGCTAAGTATATTTCTTCAGCGTATAACCTATCGTTTGAGGAGACAGTTCGTAAGTCAGTGTTAACCATTCATTCAATCCACCTCAAAAACACAATAAATTACTTACTGATTTCTAAATAGATTAATAAATCTACTTTGTATTAAAGGAATACTGGCTTTAAACTAAATCAGACTTTATGAACTAAATTAATAGTAAATCAAACCAAAATTTATGAGATGTAAAGTTATTATCACCAAAATGTCCATTTTGTTTTATTTGGTTGAATATATTACTTCAAAAGTGTTAAAGAAAGTAGGACTGTATGGATACAAATACACTATTTATTTAAAAAAAACTAGTCATTGTGATCAATTTACTCAATTAACACTGGCCTAATGCATAAAATGTCAGGCTTACATTAAGACATATTCTACAAAACTTTGAATAATTATAAAACAAAATGTCACTAAACGCAAAATAACATAAATTTGAAAGCTAAACATAATTCTGGAATATTTCAAAAAGACACTAAACGTAAAAGTTCTATTTAGTTTGTAATGCATGTTCCAATTCTAATAAAATAATAAAAGGAAAAGTGGCACTAAGCCTAAAATGACACTTTGTTTCCAATGTTTAGTATAAATTTGTGAAGTAACATAGACACTATAATCAAAATGACGCTTTATCTTTAACTCTCAACTTCATTTCTGAACAAAATTTAAACGTAAAACTGTCACTTTATGGATAATGACGTTATTGTAGAGAATCTCTATCGCGTCGTCAAGATAAAATAAATGTAATAGTGTAATTATACAAAATGTGACGTTTTACCTCTCAGCATATACTCGAGGTTGTTTGGCATACGCGTCACTATACAAAATATTTCACTATTACACTTAACGAAACGCCAAAATGGTAAAAAATACATACCGTCACTACTTTACCGAGACATTTGTAAGAAAGCTAGAAAAATAGGTGTTTTTGCATTATATTCTTTGAAATAAACGTAATGCTATGGCGCTTTTAGTCGAAATCATGCAAATTTTGGATAGTTACACTATTGCTTTCAACGTGCGAATAATTCTATGTTTGTTTATGACAAAAAGTAGATTTTATCTTCGTGCCTCTTTAGCCTTGTCAGCCACATTAATATTTTTCTCTTCTCCCGCAGAACTACTCGACCTTCTCCTACAAGAACTACAGGCATTCGAAGCTTCACCGCGGCGTCTGCGCTGATCAGCATTGTGGGTTAAATCTGACACATGTCAACGCGAGTGAAGCTACGGCAACCGCTTTGAAGGAGTGCTTCAACAGAAGTATTCACCAAGGATATGGTTTGCAGGTAAAGTGTTTTTTATATTCAACAACAAGGAACCAAATTTTATTGGTTGTCGTTAGTAACTGTATTGAAAACCAGTTTATGTTGATTCATTATAAAGATCAGCATTGTTGGTTGAATCTGACACATGTCAACGCGAGTGAGGCGACGGCTACTGCGGCGTCTGAGGCACGCAAGGCGGGTAACAAAATTAGCTTTATAATAGTAGGTGGGAAGTTATAAGGTCTTTGATCTTTTTTGATGCTTTGAAAACTGACAAAATTTTTACGTTAACTTTCTTTTTGTTTGATTGACATGCATGAGCTATATAAACTTTGTCAAAAATGGCCTGTTGCTGTCATTTAGAGACATATCGATGATTTTACAAAGTACTTAGCACATTTTTTTTATTAACTTTTTGGTTACAAAGTTAATACAAACGAAGCAAGCGGAAAAAATTCACACCGCCGGCGGGATTCGAACCCACGTCTTCTGACAAGCCGGGTCAGACGTGTTAAGCCGCTACACCACGGCGGGTTCTGCCCGAGGCGGCGAAATTGTGATCCACTTGCTTCGTTCATATTGCTTTGTCACTTGACTACTCACGGGTAGCTTGAGCGCCATTTATGACTTTGTAGTAGAACTATACAGTCACTCAACTGACAACATTACGTATGTACAAGTTGACGAGAGATGGAGCTTTTTCCGATTTGTGAATGTTTACTATTTTGAAGAAATTTTTTCCACAAGATAGTATTTTTTGGAACACTTGGTGTTTTAATCAAACACTAGATATTGATTGATATTAACTTTTTGGTTACAAAGTTTGTATTAACTTTGTAACCAAAAAGTTAATATCAATATCTAGTGTTTGATTAAAACACCAAGTGTTCCAAAAAATACTATCTTGTGGAAAAACTTTCTTCAAAATAGTAAACATTCACATTTTTTTTAGTTGTCTTAAATGCCTCATTGTGTATGCTTTCTGTTCTGATGCATCTATATACGGTTGGGGCGTATTTTAAACGTTGAAATTGTCTGTTAATTTTAAGTTATTCTTAGTTTCGTGTGGGACATGCTCGTGGGTAGTTATATTATTCTGTGGTTGATTCCCATTTCAGTAAGATAGATTCATTATAATAACAGTACTGCAAAAACAAAGTAGTTTGACTAGTAACAACTTAGTTAATTTATGCTATATGAATTCTACTAGAGCTAATCATCCTTTGTAAAACTATTAAAACTTCTAATTTTAACCTGTCATGAAAATATCAAGCTTCATTCTAACAACATTTTGCATGCAGTTTATGAAAACCTGTATGCTCAAAGTTCGCTCTGAAATTCAAAACACTATCAAAACTTAGAAGTTTATGAACTGAAGCTCATTATGAATTAACCGATGTTAATTATTACTACATTACTGCTCGTACATTATTTTATATTAATGTAAGTAGCTGATATTTAAAGTTAAAGACATCATAAACAGCTCTTTAGTACTTAAAGCAGGTAATAAATAAACGAACAATATTTAACACAAATCAACTGCAGATCAACAGATTTCATAGAATTTTCAATTTTGTTATATTTGTGATGTGACATGAGATGACCTAAATAATAATATTATATTTTGAAGTCATCATTTTCTCAACAAGATGTTATAAAGTTTAGCTTTCATCCAATCTTTCATCTTGTAATTCGGTTTTGATATTTATCATATTTCTTGCAAAGCACAAAATAGATTTTCGCGATTGTCACTTGTTACATAACCAGGGTTGTTACTTTCAAAAATCTCAAAGTATAAGAATATTGAAACAGCACAATCAAAAGAACCATCGTCTTAGTGCCTTGAGTTCCTCTGAGATTACATTCGCGTCAAAAACGTCGCTAGTCTGAGTGAACCACCTGTAAAAATGCCCCGCGCGCCGTATCTCTATTTTATATCCACCAAAGTACTCGTACCTACGTAGTGGCATCTATTGGCTGGTATTTAAAAGAATCATTTTACTCACACAGGTGGAAAGTCTATCAGTGCGCTACTGCAAGACTCAAAACGACTGGAAGCCTCCAGATGCATTAGACTATATCATCGGTGCTCTGATCCTGGCACTCCTGCTGGTCAACCTTGGATGCTCAGCTCACTACTTCCTCTTCCCGCCTGAAAAAGGAGAAGGTATGTTTAGATTTATTTTTTATTTTTTATTATTATGTAAATTGTGTGTTATGTAGGACTCCGAGTCGAGAAAAATCTGATACAAGAACGTCATATAATTCTGAGCCAATTTTAAACCAAGAAATATGGTGTTTGTGGGAACCATCTACTTATAGGAATTATATAATTATAAGTTACCTTGAGTTCCTCTGAGAATCCAGTTTTAAAAGCGTTGCTAGTACTGAGTGAGCCATCTGTAAAGGCGCCTCAGCCCCACGCACCGTTTTCCTAATTTGTGGCCGTATCGTCGTGCGGCTGTCACTAGCTGTCTTTGGCTTGTTAGCTGCCAATAACTGCCTAAGTGTAATATTTGTCTTATTAATGTTCTTCTTTATTCACAGGAAACAAATTCATGTTAGCTTTCTGCTTGCAAAAGAATTGGAAAGCGTTGAAACATGGAGGCAGCGCCGAGGGGGGTCTATTCAAGTGTTTCCAAGCAATGAGGTAAATAATACACACACACACACACACACACACACACATACACATACACGCACACTTAAACACACACACACACACACACACACACACGCACACACGAACGTACTCCCATACACACACATATAGAAATAAACATACACACAAACATAAAAATTTCTCTCTATACGTATTTCCAGGCAATGAAGTGAGTAAAACACACTCACACACACTGACACACACACACACCCAAGCTGAAATAAGCACTGAAACAGAAGAGAAAATCAAACGCATGAAAACAATATGCCACTTTCCTCCTTCATTATCCAAATAATGCATTTTATACAGAAATTACGTACTCCGTACTTAGTTTTTTGAACTCTCACAAACTTTTTAGTTTTCTAACAAGCTCTAACTAATATGAGCTGCTCCTCTTAATACCAATTAAAACTTTAGAGACAAAAGATATTTGTTCGAAAAACTGAGTTTTTTTCGTTGATCGTGTGGGTTTTAGAGTTGAGCAACGACCTGCTAATGATCTACATCTACAGCTAATGATGACCAGAAAATCATAAAATACGGGGTGCAAATAAATTGGGATAAGGGCAGGCAAGGAAGTCGTGAGGTTCACGAGCAAGGAAAGACGTTTTGTTAGTTGACATCAGGCAGGCGGCCAGTCATAAAACATTGCCAAATCATTTTGCAAATGATTTTGTGCTCTTACAAAACGTGTCGTGCTTACCCCAACAGATTTGGTGTGTGTTTTTTCTTTGAAAAATTTGCATAATTTTCCACCGCAGGCTAAATTTGAACCAGCGACCCTCAACATCTGTACTGGCAACGCCTGTACCAACTTGGCTACAGCGGCTCACTCCAAGCCCGCTCCACTAACGCGTGACATTCAATTACATATGATGATTCCTGATTGAATATTCTGTTTCAGATTCATCACCATGGTGATGATCCTGGGTCTCCACTCGATGATCTTCATCGGCTACGGTTACACCGAGAACCCCGAGTTCATTGAACATGTGAGTAGCATTTGTTGTTCTTTAGACATTTTAGAGTATACATAAGCAAACATGTTTAGGGGGCCTGATACCTCAAATCTCCTTTAACAAAACAATATTATTCCGTAGAAAATGGTAATAAAATTCTAAAAAAAAAAATTGATTGGTGCTGTCGAAAATCTAAGAGAGTCAAATTCGTTTTCAGTTACACAATCAGATGAAGTTCGCTCGATAAATAAAAAAATCCAAAGGAACCTCTATTCGAAACTAAATTATTTTAAAAGTTTTGAAGTAGGTAGTTAAGTAATTAACAAATTGTTGATGCAAAATGTACATAATTATTTTTTCTAGTGGAAATCGCAGATTCAGATGTTGCAAGTTGCAACATCGTTTTTCTAGTTTCTATAGCAAATTATTAAAATTGCTATTATTAAAATGTCGCAAAAATTTGAGCAAAAACTTATTGGCTGTTTCTTTCTGGCACAGCGCAGACGAAAGTGACCAACTTTTAAATGGATGATCATTATCATCCATTTATTAAATTATTACTTCACTAGTGAGTCCGGAATCGAAGTTCGAATTACAAACCTTCGAAACTGAACAAATAAATCGGTATACATTGCTGGTTGACTTCAAATATGTGGAGCTAGCTAGGGTCTTAGATTTTCTCTACACCTATATGCCAAAAATCTTAATTTTTTTTATTCTTTCCATAGAATATTTGACAGTCTTGCTTCGGTGCGCATGCTGCGTATACTAGTTTCACATTTTGGTGGGAAAAGCCCCTAGAGTGGACAATAGTAATAATTTTGAGTAATTTCGTTGTTACAGACTAATTTCTTAACTCACGCACCCACTTTGAAATTATTTTTGGGCTATTTACTTTATGTCAAAACCATGGTGTTCTTAAATTATAAGTGTATTTTTGTAAGATATGTTACGATAAAGTGACTAGCTCACAGAACAGATGCGCGACACGACGCGCAACATGACATCTGTCAGACAAGCGATTGTCAGCCGTTATTGAAGCGACGCGCGTCTCACGTGTGTAGTTTTGTCTCTTCTGTTTCATACATTTTACATGGAAACTGTTTTAAGCGTCGCGATGTCGCACCTCTCACGTCTCCGATGATCAGTTGTTTGAGGTGCAAGCATCATAAAGTAGACGTAAGACGTGAGACGTAAGATGACATCTGTCAGACAAATGATCGTTAGCCGTCATCGATAAGGGGGCGTCTCAGGTCTCGTGTATAGCTGTGGTTCTTCTGTTTCATACATTTATACCGTGAGTAGCAAAAATGGTATAACAAGCCGAAAGGAGGGCAATGTACTTATGAAACTGAACAACTTTCCCCATGAATCATGGGTCGAAATATGAAAAAAATCCCACCCAAAACATAAATGTGAAAGGCTGCCAAGTTCGATAATCTTGGAATGCTTCGCCTATAAAAGAAGTGAGATATAAGTACCAAGTTCCATACACAGACCTCAGTTAAAAATAGTTACAGGAATGCACACTTGATTTTCCGCAGTTTGGAAAGTAGATTCTTATTTCCAAACTGCGAAAAATCAAGTGTGCATTCCTGTAACTATTTTTAACTGAGGTCTGTGTATGGAACTTGGTACTTATATCTCACTTCTTTTATAGGCGAAGCATTCCAAGATTATCGAACTTGGCAGCCTTTCACATTTATGTTTTGGGTGGGATTTCATTTATTTTTGTAAGGTTTATTTTCTTTTTTTCTTATGATTAAGTTAGGTAAGGAAATATCTCATTTATACTTTACTTTGACTAAATACAAACCTTCGTAACGAATTTTAGGTCGGTACGACGATTGGAAGATATAGATAATTTTTTTGTTTTAGTTCCTTAGGGGTATGAATTTACACCTTCATTATTTTTAAAACCGACTCACACTTGGCCATTTTCAGATTTTTTCCTTTACCTTGACTTAAAGACCTACCTCCATGCCAAATTTCAAGTCAATACGACCATTGGAAATTTTTTGTTTTAGTTCCTTAGGGGTATGAATTTACACCTTCATTATTTTTAAAGCCAACTCACACTTGGCCATTTTCAGATTTTTTCCTTTACCTTGACCTAAAGACCTACCTCCATGCCAAATTTCAAGTCAATACGACCATTGGAAGTGGTCTAGGTTTTTGATGAGTGAGTGAGTGAGTCAGTCAGTCAGTCAGTCAGTCAGTGAGTGTATAGTAAAAATAGCGATTTTCTGACGTCAATATCTCAAGACCTACAATAGGTACATTAATGAAATTTTGTATTTTAGATAAGTAAGTAGATCTCGACAGATACTAGAAATTTCATATGCGTAGATAAAATAGATTTTGAGTTATAGGTGGGTCGAACTTGGCCCGAAATGGTTCGTGTAATATAACCCACGGCCGGTGTGTCGGTTCTTTGCTCGAACTTGGCGGACACACTGCCGTGTGTCTAGATAGCGATTTTCTGACGTCAATATCTCAAGACCTACAATAGGTACATTAATGAAATTTTGGATTTTAGATAAGTAAGTAGATCTCGACAGATACTAGAAATTTCATATGCGTAGGTAAAATAGATTTTGAGTTATAGGTGGGTCGAACTTGGCCCGAAATGGTTCGTGTAATATAACCCACGGCCGGTGTGTCGATTTTTTTTGCTCGAACTTGGCGGACACACTGCCGTGTGTCTAGATATTCGTAGCTCCCATACAATTTCGCCGATTAGGTAGCTGACTGATTTACTATTGGGAAAGTTGTTCAGTTTCATGTTTCACTGGGAAAGTTGTTCAGTTTCATGAGTACCTTGACCACCTTTCGCCTTGTCATACCCTATATATTGCTTCACATTCACGTCTAATGAGTGGAGCTAGGACCTTACAGATGAGATCTTATGTCTCACGCCTACTCTTATGGAGCTTGCACCTAAAAAATACTTCGCATGAAATCACTGAACTGAATCTTTTTGTAACTTTGCTTGCTTATTTATTTTTTATTCCATTTGTGCTTTGACTAAACTGTTTTGTATCGAGTTTTATTTTTCATCAAACGTAACAAGAGCACTTTGATGTAAATTTGAACGGTTTCGTAACAAATTTAGATTTTGCAGAGTTTATTTAAGAATTTTTATTTTCAACGATAAAGTTAATAAACGTGGAGTTCAGTGAACTGAGTGTAGAGGTCAATTGTTTAGTTTATTTACATTTGTAAAAAGTTTTAGGCAATAAATAGATATACTTGGAGTAACAGAAAGGGTATAACAAGCCGAAAGGAAGTCAAGGTACTCATGAAACTGAACAACTTTCCCCATCGAACAAAATATGAAAAAAAATTTGGACCTCCCATACAAAATCTCCGATCAGCTGATTGATACTATGGGAGGTCCAATATTTTTTTTGACCCATGTTCGATGGGGAAAGTTGTTCAGTTTCATGAGTACATTTTTTTTTATATTTCTACCCATGTCCCATATAGGGAAAATTGTTCAGTTTCATGAGTTCATTGACCGCCTTTCGGCTTGTTATACCCTTTCTGTTACTCACTGTATACATTCCGTAATACTTACGGTTCAAAATGAAAATCAAAATCATAGTTTGGTATTTACTTACATTCAGTTACAACTTAAGAAACTAAGCTAATAGTTTGTCACCACTGCAACTTTTATTTACAGCGCCATCTGTGTTTTACCAGAAATCCTTGATGTATGTTTTTAAGTGTCCTTTGACTGTCCCAATGGTGTAGTGGATAGTACTCCTGCCGTCTACGCCGAGGGCCGTGGGTTCGATTCCCACCGAACACAAATATTTGTAAAGTCAATTTTCAAATATCTGTGTTTTAGTCAGGGTGTTTTCTATGTATGATATGTATGCATTTACAAAAAAAAAGTATATGACTATATCAGTTGCCTAGTTCCCATAGTACAAGATTTGCTTAGTGTGTGTGTCACGTCCAGGGATATTTATTATTAAGTTCTAGATTGACTAAGTCATCATCATCACATTAACTAACAGTGGTCCACTGCTGGCCATAGGCCTCTCGCAGGGGCCACCACGTGAGATCTCCCGATTTCGCCATCCAGTCGCTACTAGCCACTATCTTTAGTTATCGGTTTACCGCTATGCTAGTCCATGTTTGACAACTTAAGCAACAGTTTTCCAACTGTCGATAAATATTTATTGTACCGTCCTTGACCGGGCTCGCTCGGGTTAACATATAGAGCTAATAGTTAAGGTGGCACCCACACCTGGCAAAAGAGTAGTTCTACTTTAATAACTGTAACAGAGACAGATGACAACCTGTGCCATCGTCGGTATTTAGTATGTGCATTCGACATTGCATTACAGACGCATTTGTTACGGATCCTGTGTTTGACGTTAGAACTATAAGAAGCGACTAAGGTATTCAAGATTCGATGTGTATTGCAATTGTAAGCGATAAATTTAAGTGATAGTGATAGGTACACGATTTTCTAAAACGGTTCTCAAATTATTGCTCTGTCCTTGACCAGACTCGCTCGGGTTAACAGATAGAGCTAATAGTTGGAAGTTTGCGTGACTCGCCCACTGGTTTTGACATCACTATTACATGGTGGTGCCGGCTTAGAATAGCATCACCCCATATATTTCCCGTGAGTGTCGTAAGAAGCGACTAAGGGATTCGTGATTTTAGGTGGCAGGCTAACAACCTGTCACTATAATCGTACACTATTTTTTAAAACGTTCCTTAGAAGATGGTCGTTACCCAATCACGTCAGAGGCATGCTACTTTTAGTAGACGGTTGAAAAAACTAAGCCACCAGGGTTCATAGGGTCATTGGACGACTCGATGTCCCACTAGAAAAGAAGAAGAAGGCGAC